ATTTAAAATGTCTGCAAAAACACCATGCTATTGCACAGTAAAGCATGAAGCTATAACACACTGGCCTGCTAACAGCGATGTGAAATGCCATTTTAAAAGTTAACCAGTTAATCGTTAAGCCTAGCTGTCTAACCAGGTTCCTGTAGACAAGGCTGGAGTGCCCCCTGCCCACGGTGTGATGGGTCCAGCCAGAGTGGAACAGCCCCTCACGACATGGATGAGGGACTGCTCCAGCCCAGTCTGCCATGCCACAGGCTGCTCCAGCCTGGCAAGACCGAGCCTACAGCGTTGCAGGCGTGGGATGTTCGGGCTAGGTCAGGCCAGGCCTACCTCAATGCAGGTTGGGGGCAGCTCGGGCTGGGTCCGCTGTGCTGTGGCTAGGGAGCTACTCCAACCCAGCTGGGCTGGAGTGGAGTATCTCCTGCCCGTGCTGCTGCATGCTGAGCCCAGTTGTGCATTGGGGGCTGCTCCAGCCAGCCAGGCCACTGGTTAACTGCATTGCCGGGCAAGGGTGATGCTTACTGGGTAACTGGTTAAATTTTTACATCCCTATCTGCTACCGGGTACCACATTTTTTTCCTTTTTCGATGAGGAAGTGATGCCCCTGCAGGAATATTTTAGAAGAAAGGACTCAGTACTTGTTTAAGTAGTTTTCTGTCCAATCCCAGAACATGCTGTGTACTCTTCTGAGAAAAGAGACTAATTCAATGGAGAGGTTAAGTTAAATTACCATTTCATACTTAGGCATACTCTGTGCCCACTGACCTCCAATAATGGTCAGTGGGCACAGATGTCAGATTGGCAGTCGGTTTCTAGCAGAGTGCCCCAAGGATCTGTTCTAGGACTGGTTTTGTTCAACATCTTTATTAATGACCTGGATGAGGGGATGGATTGCACCCTCAGCAAGTTTACAGATGACACTAAGCTAGGGGGAGAGGTAGAAATGCTGGAGGGTAAGGAGAGGGTCCAGAGTGACCTAGACAGATTACAGGCTTGAGTCAAAAGAAATCTGATGAGGTTCAACAAGGACAAGTAGAATCCTGCACTTGGGACGGAAGACTCCTAAGCATTGTTACAGGCTGGGGACCGAGTGGTTAAGTAGCAGTTCAGCAGAAAAGGATCTGGGGATTACAGTGGATGAGAAACTGTATATGAGTCAACAGTGTGCCCTTGTAGCCAAGAGGGATAATGGCATATTAGGGTGCAACAAGAGGAGCACTGCTAGCAGATCCTGAGAAGTGATTATTCCTTTTTATTTGGCTCTGGTGAGGCCACATCTGGAGTATTGTGTTCAGTTCTGGGGCCCCCACTATAGAAAGGATGTGGACGTATTGGAGAGGGTCCAGGGGAGGGCGACCAAAATGATTAGGGGGCTGGAGCGCATGACCTATGAGGGGAGACTGAGGGATTTGGGTTTGTTTAGTCTGCAGAAGAGAAGAGTGAGGGGGGATTTGATAGCATAGAATCATACAACTAGAAGAGACCTCAGAAGGTCATCAAGTCCAGCCCCCTGCTCTAGGCAGGACCAATTCCAACTAAATCAACCCGGCTGAAGGGAGGTTCCAAAGAGAATGGCAGAGCAAGGAGCAATGGTCTCAAGTTACAGTGGGAGAGGTCTAGGTTGGATATTAGGAGAAACTATTTCACTAGGAGGGTGGTGAAGTACTGGAATGGGTTCCCTAGGGAGGTGGTGGAATCTCCATCTCTAGAGGTTTTTAAGTCTCGGCTTGACAAAGCCCTGGCTGGGTTGATTTAGTTGAGATTGGTCTTGCCTTGGGCAGCGGGCTGGACTTGATGACCTCCTGAGGTCTCTTCTAGCTGTATGATTCTACTTTCATCACATGCACAAATACAATCTCATCTTCTTTCAAAGGTGCAGAAAAACACCTCCCTCCCGCAAATAATTTTCTCTCAACTCTCTCATCAACTTCCCATACGGAGACAGTGGATTTAGGCCATGTCTTCACTTCCTGGAAGATCAACGCTGCAGTGGTTGATCTTCTAAAGTTTGATTTGCAGGCTTGAGGAAGCCCCTGTCGGCACCAGAACTCCTACTCCTTGCTAGGAGTAAAGGAAATTAACGGAAGCATTTCTCCTGTCAGCCTCCCACTGTGAGGACAGCACTGAAACTCAGCTTAAGGTGTGTCAACTCCAGCTACTCTTTTTACATAGCTGAAACTATGAACCTGATGCAAATATTCTCCTGTAGGGTGGGCCGGGTCTTAGAGGATAAATAGCTTTAGACTGTCAGTAAGCTGCATGTCCATCGCAACAGCAGGGGCAGCAAATTGCATATCCACGGTTGTGAAAACTTAGCTTGTGCAAAGCTGACCTTAACTGCTGTGGCGGGCTGTGCAGAGAGAGGATCTCTCTGTTTTATAGCCTAAGCCAGAGAGAAATAAAACGTCCATTGCAATTTCTAGGGATGAAATCTTGATCTGATTGCCGTGAGCAGGAGTTCTGAAACTGAATTCAATGAGACCAGGATTTCACCTTTAGGTCAGTTCAACACGACCGCAGTAAATCTATCTAATCTACACTACCTTAGTGATGTGAATAGCGTAACTGAAGTCGACATAGTGAAGATCCACTGACAGTGCTTTGTTAACAGGAGATGCCCTCCCACCAACTTACCGTACTCTTCTCTGAGAGGTGGAATACAGAAATTGACAGGAGAACACTTGCCCATCAATGTAGCACATCTTCACCAGACCTGCTAAATTGATGCCACTGCATTGATTGCACGAAGATGAATTTAGGATTTAGCACCATAGCGAAGACATGGCCTTTGAGTTCAATGGCTATATGGTGCTATACGAGATTTACTTCTCTCAGGCCTGCGCGCTATCAGAAGATTGTTTATTGACAGTCAATTAACTTTGCAACAGCAGTGCGATGTAGGTTATTATACTCAGTTCTTCAATGGGCGAACTGAGACAGAGTGTGTCATCCCCGCAGCCATATAGCAAATTTACTCTACAGACTCCTCCAGAACCCAAGTCTCCCAACCCCGTTCTCTAACTCAGAGGTTTCAAACACCTGGCTTGTGGGCTGGATCCAGCTTGTGTGATGTATTGGTGAATATGCCACTGAACGTTTAGTTCTGCAGAACTGAAGTTTTCATTGGAAGTAAAGGATTCTCTCCCCAGTGGTGCACCGGGTGGTAAGCAGACACACTGCTGTCTTTCCAAAGCCTGGTGTACACTCAGTTTTAACACTGATTTCATTCAATCAGTAGAAACACAGGCTTAATCAGCAAAACCCAGCTATGGTGAGGGAAACTTCTTTGTATCAACAGAATGACACCAAAACATAAGGGGTGTCCCTTCACCTAAGTTTCCGGTAAGCTGGATAGCTGCACACCTATCTATTTAGCCCTGTGCAGGGCAGGAGCCTGTGGCAGCTTACCCACCCCTGCCTACCCTCCAACTTGCTGCAGCCGAGGCCATCTATCACTGCCCCGGATTTGACAGGTGAAGTGGTGCAGCCAGACACAGCCCCGATTCTGCCACATTCAGGGTTGCATGGGCAGCCTGGCTCCGACTCTGCCATGGCTTGGGTGGTGAGGGTGGCTCAGCTCTGGCCAGACTGCCACAGCTGGTTCCCAGCCCCACTCTCAAATATCTTGGCCCCAGACCTCTGCCATGGCTTATGTAGCCCTGGAGAACGCCACCTGCTGCAGCTGGGGCAGCCCACACTCCCGCCTGTCATGGCCCAAGTGGACAGCTGGAATGGTCAGGCCACGCAGCTCCCTGGTCCCGAGCTACCCTCATCCCCCTGCACCCTACCCACTGCCCCAGCCCCACCCGAGAGCTTGCATCACCAGCCGGAGCCCTTGTACCCCAACCCTCTGTCCCAGCTAGGGTTGCCAACCCTCCCAGACCGGATGGGCTGAATACCATTTGTGGCAATGGTGTCCAGTCTGACTGAGTTGGCAACCCTAATACCAGCCCTGTGCCCCTCATCCCCAGCCCTAACCCATAGCCCACACGCCTAGCCAGAGCCCTTCCACCTCAAACCTCTGTCCGATCACTGAACTCCTCAGCCCCAGCCAAAGCCCTCACACTTCCACACCCCACCCTCTGCCCCAGACCCGAGCCTCTTCCCTCACTCCAGAAGCCCTTGGCCTCACCCCCACCACATGAATTGTGTTATATGTACCAATATGAAGGTGATATTTAGTGCACATCACCTCCATATTAGTGCACATAACATATCTATTCTTTTCAGGAGCAGGAAAAATTAGAGGGAACCCCCACCCCAGTAGTTTAATAATTAAGTGAATGCTCAGCATAGAACAGGCCCGAGCCTGCACACAGACTGAACCAGTAGCTCTGATAGGTGTGAACTTTCCCATCCTCTCAATCTCATGGGGAAGTTGACACTGAAGCCTAATGACAACACTTTGCAATATCATTAACCATTCAGTTGCTGATTACTTTCACCAACAGAAAGGGGGAGGCGTTGAGATTGAAAGCATGGTAAGCACTGGGAGCTGCTGCAGGAAAGGAGAAGCAGAGGGAAGAAGAGAGGAGGCACATAAGCACAGGGAAAAGGGACAGAAATGGAGGATGGGAAACAAAGAGAAAACTAAGGGCAGGAACAGCAGTGGCCTAAAGGCAGCAGATCCTGCCCTCTCCTCATGCCCAGACAGATGCTGGTTGTGATCGTAAGTTCCTGGACAAAAAACAGATAATGATGAAAACTATGTTATTACAGAAAAGCCACGTCCCAGCCTTGATCTCTGTGGCAACCTCTCTCTGACTATTCCAGAGGGCACAGAGGAGGCTGTTTATCCTAAATGTACACCCTGACCCGTTCTCCAGAATTCAAATGGAATCCAGCTTTCTCCAAACAGTGATTTGGACCCTGCAGCTTGACCTCAAATGGCACCTCTGGGTGTTTGGCAAGCACTGGGAAGGTAGGACAAAGCCTACTGGACAGAAGCTCTGATCAAGTTTTATGAGGCACCTTTAGGTCAAGAGGAAAGATTTCCATACCCAGCCATTACTTCCAGGTGGAGCTGTCCTGAGACCGTCAGGAAGGCAGGAACATTGAAGAAATGAGAGTCTTTCCCAGGTTCCGGTGCTTCATTTGATGTCTGTAAAACAAGAAAGCACATGCCCGAGTATTAATCAGTTAAGGAACATGGCTTCAGATATTTCATCCTCCTTCCTCTGAAAATTACAGGTGCATCAATCCAAATAAAACTAAACAACAGGACAAAGCCCCATGCTTCCAGGAATAAAGCCATACACCAAGGGCTTGGTCTACAGCAAGAGCAGTGTCTAAGTTCAAGTGAAGTCCATTTCAAAACCAGTTTGGGACCTTTTCTAAGTTGGCCATTATCTCCTCTTTTGGCACATCTACACCATGCAAACCCCTAACATAGACAAGGAAAGCTATGATTTGCATGAGAACCTGGTACTAATCTCCAGTTTAGACATGACCTCAGAGTAATTTAAAAGTATCACGTCACTGAAGTAACCTACAGAAAATCTTGGGGGCAAAGAGTGTGAAGCCACCTCCAAAGTTGAAAATATAGGAGAATCAGATTCTTAACGGCAGGCAGTACTAGAATGTTACTGCATGTAAGCCAACAACAACTTGTGAAAAACTGTATACTTGGGAGAGGGGAGAGGGACAGAGTTTATGGGAGTATGGTTATATAAACCATAAAACGTAATTTATAACAAATTCAATTTTCTATTCCTACCACCCCCCAGCCCAGTAACACATGAACTGCATTATAAAAATTATTCTAAGACAGCAGTGTCTTCAACTGCTAGAAAAGTACACAGAAAACAATGCCCCTCCCAATCCTGCACATGTCTAACTACTCACATGAACAATCCCATCAGCCAATGAGACTAGTTAGATTAATCAATTTATTCATGAGCTTAAGTGTTTACAGGATGGGTGCAATAGAAGCACATGACTGGGCCAAATCCTGGTAGCTGGCTATTCCTCCCAACTTTAATGACAGGATACCTACCATACACAAGATGTGATCCTTAATATGTATAAGGTTATTATGTGGCACTGAAATAATTTTCTAATAAGGTAGCAAAAAGCAAAAGGACAGAAAAAGAAAAAATGCCATTGAGCATAGCAGAAAGGATCCAGGGAGGAAGGTCTTACAGATAAGGCACTGTGCTGGGACTCAAGAGAACTGGGTCTAGCTCCCTGGCTCTGCCAGAGATGCTTCTCATGGTGCTGGATGAGTCAATTTCTCTGTGCCTCGGTCCCTTATTCATAAAACAGGGAGAAGAGTTGTGTTAGAAAGGCCATCTGGATGCTGGAGAAGATGGATGCTGCGGCGGTCGATCTGGCGTTTGATTTAGCGAGTCTAGTAAAGACCTGCTAAATCGAATGCTGAGGGGCGCTCCTGTTGACGCCTGAACTCCTACGCCTCACAAGGAGTAAGGGGAGTCAATGGGAGCATTTATCCCATCAACCTCACTCTGTGAAGACGATGCTGAATCTTGGCTTAGAGTACATCAACTCCAGCTATGTTTTTTATGTAGCTGGAATTGAAGGCCGTAAGCTGTCCTTCGGCTGCAGAGAAGACCTGGCCTAAGTTCTGTAGAGCAGGCACCATCTTTTAATTGGAGTACAGCACAGTTGGGCCTTGATCGTTGTTGGTGCTCCAAGCCTTACTGGAATGCAAACTGCAATAATAAAGAAATGTACTTTGTAACAGAAGCAGGGGGCGCACATTTATGTGGCACTGTAGGGTCCTCAGAGAAAACAAAAAATACGCAGCTCTTATTTCAGTTATACAGGCCCGTAGGACTAGAAGTGTGTCAGCAGCTCTGAATTTTGCTTAAAGTTTATATACATGGCTGTGTAATTTAAGTGCCTGCAAGTGCAAGAGAGCATAATTTGCCTTGTGAGGTGATCAAAAGGCAAGGTTGCAGTAAGAAGAAGCAACAGAGGGGCATAACAAGGTGCAATGTAGAGTACAGGAAGGGATCGCCTCCTCCACTCATCCCATTTTACAGATGGGGAACCTGAGACAGAGGTGGAAGTCTGAATTTTCAATAGTAACCTAACTTCAGGAGCACAGACTGGAACTCTTAGGGCCTGAATTTCAGAGAAGCTGAGCGAACATAGCTAATTGGAGCTGGAAATGTTCAGAACCCCAGGGGATAGGGGGTTGGAAGGAATCAGGTCCTAATTTTTTAATAGAGGCACCCAAAATTAAAGGCTCTGAATAACATGAAAAGCTGTGTGGGAGAAGAACCCAGATTGCCCCATCCAACCCTGAAAGTTAAGCAATAGTTCATTCTTCTCCAGAATGATCATGGAACACAAAATCTTTAAGAATTTCTACCATTAGAACAGCTTTGGTTTCACACACCGCTATCATAAAGGCTCAGTGTTAAATCTGATAAGAAATCAGGAGGGTTGTTTTTTATCTAAGACAGGTGCCTCCAGTTTATTAAAGATCTTTTAATCACTGTTATTTTCCTTTCACAGGGAAATGAATTTGATTCCATTAGAAAAAGTGCTATGGTAATGAGAAAAAAACGAAATAGAATATTCTATTGAGTCTTCATTGTTATTCTATTATTAAAAAAGGCTCCAGCAACATGGAGATTGTATAGGCATAGAAACACAAATGCCCTTTTCTTCCAGCTTTTGCACATCTTTTCAGGGTCATTGGATAATTTACATGCAAAGAAACACCATGGAACACTTAGCTGGTTTTGTGCTAAAGCAACATAAACAACCTCTTAAGAAAAGAGCATAGACAACATACTTATTGGGGGAAGGGCCTAGAGTTAAAAAGAGAAAGTGTTGGATAGTGTTTTAATCAGTAGTTTTGTATAACTGTATATGTCCACTTTTAATAAATGGAGCACTTATAATTGTTTCAAGCTCAGTATTCATTTATTAATGCAATTCTATTTTATGGGTGGGGGGTTGGGCAGGAGGAAAGGTGAAGGAGCAGGCTGCGGGTGGGAGTCTGGGCAGTAGGAAGGGTGCAGGGGAGGGCTCTGGAAGAGAGGGAGGGTGCAGGAGCAGGCTGGGTGTGCGATAGGGAAGGGGGTACAGGAGCAGGGTGGGAGGCCTGGGTGGGAGGGAAGATGCGGGTGCATGTTGGGGGTGGGTAGGTCTGGAATGGGGTCAGGCTAGTGGAATTCAGGAGGGCACATAGTTTTACATGGCTCTGTGCTAGAGCACCGCCTCCACTGGCCATGATTCAGCCAATGGGAGCAATGGGGGTGGTGTGGCACCTGCACAGAGCACTTCTGTGAACACACAGAGCTGCTTCCCCCTTGCTAGGCAGAGCCCACGGACCAGATCCGGTCCTGGCTTGCCTGGATCAGGTCCATGAGGCTTGGGACTCTCCCTTTGCAGTGGCCCTGGCACTCCAGCCAGCGCGTGTCCCTGCGGAGGGGTGGGAGCCCCAAGCCTCACAGGCTGGATCAAAGCAAGCCGCAGGGGGGATGCAGCCTGTGGGCTGTAGGTTACCAACTCCTGCTTTAAGTGCTTGTGGTCATTAATGATTCTAGAGCACTCATCACAAGATGACGGTGCTCTGGTTATATTCCATCTTGGCTTCTTGTCTGCAACTCAGCCACAATTTGTTGACAATCATCCAGTAATTTAAGTAGGGCCTTGTATCTAACCTTTTTCAGTAGAATACAACAACATTTCTACCAAATAGTAACTGGAAGAGAGAGACAGAAAGCCAGACATGAGATCTCAAGAGTGCTCTGCCCACTCCGCAAACAGAACACAATCTCTGCACCTCCTGGGACTGTGATTTGGTTTATTTATAATTACAGTAAACTTCCGATAATCCGGCACCTTTAGGACCCAGGGGGTGCCGGATTATCAGATATGCCGGACTATCAGAAGGGGGGGATATGAGGGGTCTGGGATGGGGTGGGGGGGATGCTACCCTAGACCCCCTCATAGCCCTCCCTTCTGATAGTCCGGCTCTGCCCCAGGAGTCCCCGATTCAGCCGCTGGTGGTCAGTTTCAGCAGCGGCTGAATCTGGGACGCCTGAAGCAGAGCAGCTGGGGTGGCGCCGGGGTG